TAGCCGTGACAGGACGGGCAGAGAGTTCACAGACGGCCTCCATAGTCGTGACAGGACGGGCAGAGAGTTAACAAACGGCCTCCATAGCCGTGCCAGGACGGCAGAGAGTTCACAAAGGCCTCCATAGCCGTGACAGGGCAGGATGAGAATTCATAAACGGCCTCCATAGCCGTGACAGGACGGGCAGAGAGTTCACAGGTGGGTACTACTGACACCTCTGGAGGTTCTGCAGTGGGTGCCGCCACCTCTGGAGGTTCTACAGTAGTGCCCTCAGGATACAGGGAGAGTTTGGCAAAGGTTCCTTCGACCTTGACATGACAGGTAGAAAGTGCGTTTCTGGGCGCCACCTCCACGCAAGGAGCTGAAGCGAGCACCGCCGCTTCGGGAGGTTCTGCAGCATGCGCCGCCACCTCTGGAGAAACTGCAGCGGGCACCATCGCTTCGGGGAACACAGCAGCGAGCCTCCACGCAAGGAGCTGAAGCGAGCACCGCCGCTTCGGGAGGTTCTGCAGCATGCGCTGCCACCTCTGGAGAAACTGCAGCAGGCGCCATCGCTTCGGGGAACACAGCAGCGAGCACCACTACCTCAGGAAATTCTGCAGCTTCCGCCGCCAACTCTGGAGACCCAATAGTGGACGCCGCCACCTCAGGAGGTTCTGTGGTGGTGTATGCAGCCCAAACACACCAAAAAGCGATCCCCGTCCAGGGTGATGTGTAACAGTCTGTGTAGTGTGAGAGTCAATGTAGTGAGCGGGTGACCTCTGGTGGAGAGTGAATGGAAGTTCATAGACCGGATTCGTGACACCTACATTGCAAAACATTACTGATAGGTCTGTTATTTTCAGACATTATGTATTTATATGTATTGATTTACCAATCACTATAGACAATTTCATATTGCACCATGAGTAATTATATATATGCACACACAGGGATATACAAAACAAATGCATAATTGTACTGACAGGATTACTAACGGGATTACTGACAGGAAAACTAACGCTAATGCTAATTTTTGTGGGAGTATGACTTAGATGTTTATATTATTTGTTATATTTATATTGTAATATGTTATATTATTGTTTTGTCTTTGTTGATCCTGAAGTGTGGTGTGTGAATAACGATTCGAAATTCTCTTGAGACAACATGCCATTTTAACTCCTGCCATTAGCTATATTACTATGAACACCTGATACAGCTATCATCTGATAATACAGGATCACACACACACACACACACACACACCAGCTCATTTACACACACACACACAAACACACCACTCGCATGCACACGTTTTCATCTCTCCCTCCCTCAGACGCCAACAAATTACAAACAAGGATGGTGTGTGTTTGTTTCAGGATTTCCTATGTTTGTAGGTAGGACATTTCCAGTTCTGACCCTGTACCACAACAAACCATCAACCATCAAACCATCAGAAAATAACTCACCATTTTTTTTCTTTTTACTCAACTTATTTTGCACATATCTTGTTGTGGACACATACTGTAGTCTGACTATCACTGACATGACCAGCGATATGACAGAGCGCTGTCATAGTCAAGTCAAGTCAAGTCAAGTCTGCTTTATTGTCAATTCTTCGGTTCCATAAATATCCTGGAGGGAGGGTAGAGAGACACCAACGATCTTCTCAGCTGCTCTCACTATGCGTTGAAGTGTCTTGCGGCAGGACGCGTTGCAGGCGCCATACCACACAGTGATGCAGCTTGTCAGAATGCTCTCGATGGTGCCTCTGTAGAAGGTGCAAGGTGTAGAATAATACACACATAGTACTAGGGCGAACACACATATAGAGAACACACACCATATGTTAAATAATTCACACTTCACTAAACAGTCTTTTGTAAAGACAACAAACGGGTCAGCTGACCAGCTAATATACTTACATCTTACCCTCTTGTTTGTGTCCAGTCTGATTTGTAAGCCAACCAAGTGGTTCATTGAAAAGAACCGATTCAAATGAACAATTCGTTCTCTGATTCATATATCTGAATTATCTGAGACTGAATAATTAATTTTAATTTTTAGGTAATCTATTCTTGCTGAAATTCATTACAAGGAAAATTATATATTTTGTAGATGCTGCAATGGTTAATAAATTACGTGTTTAGAATAAATCCACTGTCCACTGTAAAAAATTATTTTTCAATAAATAAAACAAAGAAATTACATCACAGAATTATTGAATGGAAGCTTGTAGCATGTTCCCCAATTAAGTTCTGGAAATTATACCTACAAAACATAATTCATTCTGTTTGTGTGTCTGTGTCCAAGAACTCCAAAGAAATCAAACTATAATGTTTGTCTGATTAACACAAATTAACCTCTGAAACGGATTAATTATTTACTGCTGGCTCAACACCAGACACCAACTCTGGATATCTGTGAGAGACAGACATAAAGAGAGAGAACCCTTCTGTGTTTGTGACGCTAAAAATAATATAATATAAAACTCACTTTAAAGAGCATCACAAAGCTTAGAAGCAGATCTGTGTGGTTTATTAGCTTGACAAATAACTGTACATTTGTGTTAACAAAACAATGACGGGACCAAAAAAAAAACAATGCATGAAAAATATGAATATTAAATTAATAAATAGTAAAAAGTAAAAAATAGAATAGCTGATCAATTCTGTGCCAGATATTTTTGTGCAACTTAAGAAATAAATGGTAATGATAGATAGATAGATAGATAGATGCCTTTAAGATGTCTTCAAGTTTCATGAAATCAGGATCTTGATGAATCTTAAAAAGTCGATTTCTTGGTAAAGTGATAATGTCACATTGCTATCACAATATCATATACAAGCAACCTGAAAACAAAGTTTATAAAGTTCAGCATTATAAACATGATCAGTCGATTTAAAAGACACTAAAACCTCAATCACAGATTGTGTGTGAGAGAAAGACATAAACAACTGTGTTGGATTTGATTACATAAAGTTATACTTCCTTGTAAATTATCATACATAACTTCAGAACCTGTGCGTTAAACATGTATTAGCCTACATAAACGTTTGAAATGCCAAATTCAGTCTACTTTTATGCACTGATGTGCTTGTTAATGAACAGTAAACTTGCTCTTAAACCATGTTTGGAGTGGCTTAATCTGTCTTAGCCGGACGCAACATGACACAATAACAGCCTGTGATGTATATTTTATGTTTAATATACAACTGATAGGATTTCAACCAATGAGATTCCACTGTGGGTGGGGCTACTCTGCAGAAATAAACATTGTAGAAATAGAACATCTCATTTGTTGCTTTTTCAATGGCATTAGTTCCAGAATTATTTTTCGCATTCATTTTTCCCATAGGGATTTTTTTTTTAAATGAATTCTTTAAAGCCGGTAGAAGCCATGAACCAAAGCAACAAGGCGAATCACAACATTATAAACTTTGAAGATATTAAAGATGCAGTATGTAATACTGACAGCTAGCAGTTGAAATGGGTACTGCAGTCCAAATTCAAAATACTGGAGAGAGTTGTTTCTCCCGCCACCTCCTTTTCAAACTGGACGCTCATGCGGGTTGCCAGATTGTGGACACCTAACAGGAACGAGCACAACTGACAATGGTAGGCAAGGAGCCTTACACTGTAAGTTGATGAGTTGATTTATCCGCGTTTTAATATGCCTCTGGTCAGAGATTTTAGATGGATGCCAAGGCTTTTTAGGCCGGGTAGATTCTGCTATCTCTGACCCAGTTTGTTTGCTGGCTTCCATGGCTGGAACATGCTGTGTTTTCTGCCAACTGGCAACCCTGGATGTTGAGATACAATTGGGTAAACATGCAGTGGGCGGAGTCACACGGACCAAAACAAAAACAGACATTCTGACAAGGAACGCACATTTCAAAGTAGAATAACTGGCCGTAGCATTGTTTTTCAGAGAAACACGTGAACTTAGCATGTTTATAACATGGTATTTTTGTTTTAGTAGTCAAAAAATGACATACAGCATCTTTAAACATGATTATTTTAGAAATAAGTTGAATTAATGTGAACAGATGGCTTCAACAAAAGCATTTACCATCGATTAATAACCTCAGCGCTCACAACAAGTCTGTCTTAAAAGTTTTACCATTAAAAATCAATTTCCTATGGAGAAAATGAATGAATTTTTACTTCCAGAACCCGATTGTTGCGCTTTATTGTGTCGCGCCTGGTTTGGCACCTCCTCACAAAGTTTAAAACGTGATATCTGCTCTGATACACAAATACTACACCATTACGGAAAATCACCAAACAGGAAACACGTACCATTTTGCAACTGTCCCGACACGATATTGTAAAAGCACATAGTAATATAACGCCTGGCCTTTAAGGCAGTGATTTGCGCACATAAGTCTGAGTTCCGTAGCGCCAGTGAATGGGAGGAGCTCTACAAAACGGACCAATCAGATTGCAGAGACGCTTGGCGGTTTCACCTGCAGGGGCCCGTGTGCACGTGCACGATGCCGCGAGCATGCATATGCATGAAGTTGAAGATCTCATACGGCATGGCGTGAAAACCGGGGCGGGGCTTGACGTTGTCATAGTAGTGGTGCGTTATGAAGATTCCAGAGGGGTTCATGGGAAACGCCCAGAAGCCGTAGAGATGTACTTCTTCGCATAACTCCATGGCGGCGGTGACCAGCATCAGGCCGCTGCTGAGGCGTTTGGCGCGGACGCCCTGCACGGCCCAGAAGCGCTGCACATTCAGCAGGTACTGCGGGTGGAAGAAGAACACGCCGCGGGCCGACTCGAAGTCATCCAGCATGTACTTCACGCGGAACGACACGTCGGTGTTCCGTGTGTTATAGAACGCCGGCAAAACCACCGAGGAGTTCTTGTAATTCTGCAGAACGTCGTAAAATGGCTTTCTCCATTTCTCCAACTTTTGAAACCTGGTCCAAATAGAGAGAGAAAATTAGTGTCTCAATGGTTGTGTTACAGGAACGCAAACTGTATGCATGCTAAATGATTTCATTAGCATTCATAGGCATTTTTGCATAAAATATATTTAATATATATAATATTTGCATAAAAATGCTAATTCTGTAATAATAATAATATTAATAAAAATATTATTGTATTAAAAATATATTATTTATTAT